TTCTGCCACCCTCATGGGGACAAGAGTCAGCACCACTGGATGGGAAGAAAGAGAGAAGAGAGGGAGGGAAGGTAGGAGGTGGGGAAGGAAGGTCCCAGGTCACTGAAAGCCAAATCTTGCTCTTATTTATTTTATTGGTTTGATAGTGTTTTTATTTATTTATTTATTTATTTATTTATTTATTTATTTATTTATTTATTAAAAAAAATTTTTTAATGCTTATTTATTTTTGAGAGAGACAGAGAGAGAGAGCAAGGAGGGGAGGGGCAGAGAGACAGGGAGACACAGAATCTGAAGCAAGCTCCAGGCTCCAAGCTGTCAGCAGAGCCCCATGTGGGGCTGGAACCCATGAACCATGAGATCATGACCTGAACAGAAGTCGGAGGCTTAACTGACTGAGCCACCCAGGCGCCCCTGGCTTGATAGTGTCTTTTAATTTTTCTTCTCTTTCCTTCCCTCCTTGAATCCATTCATTCATTCTTTTTTTTTCTTTTCTTTCTTTCTTTTTTTTTTTTTTTTTACATTTATGGATTTATTTTGAGAGAGACAGGGAGTGTGAGCAGGGAAGGGGCAGAGAGAGAGAGAGAGAGAGAGAGAGAGAGAGAGAGAGAGAATCCAAGCAGGCCCTGTGCTGTCAGTGCAAGCCCAACAGGGCTTGATCCCAGGAACCATGAGATCAGGACATGAGCTGAAATCCAGAGTTGGGTGTTCAACCAACTGGGCCACCCAGGCACCCACTGTTTTTCATACATTATTCTTAGTGGACCAGGCACAGGACCAGGACCTGAGGAAGCCACATATTTTTTCTTTCAGATTCCTTCTTGCTTTTGGTGAAGCTCCTCTTCCTTTTTCACTATTCACAATTGACATCCCACCTGACTTTCCCCAGTGACCACATAGCCTTGATGGCAGAAGCCCCCTGTTCCTGGAATTTGTGATCAACACCTGTACAGCTCCTGACAACCCAAAACCCACTCCTGTATTTTCCTGTTTCAAAGCCCATGTACACTGGAATCTAATTCCTGACCTAAGAGATGCCCAGTGCCCACAGTTCACTCAGAATGAAAGAAGCCAGTAGGTTCTGGACATTGTCTAAGTTACCAGCTCTTCACACTTCGCTAAGTTATTAGGGAAAGGACAATTAGCAACCCTCAGTCTTCATTCAGGTGAAGGGTCACTTGTAGTGAAGAGTAGGAAAAGTGACTTCATAGGGGCACGAGATTGGATGAAAGGGATAATTGGGTCACAAACTGAGAGTACAGCCACAGGAATAGATCAAGAGGGAGTCCTAGCTCACAAAAGGTCAAGGTAAGTCCTACGTGCTGGTTACAGGGCGCCTGGTTTGAGGCAACATGGCAGGGGCCGAAGTGTCCATTAACCTTTAAAATATGGCTTACTGGGGCACCTGGGTGGCTCAGTTGGTTGAGCGTCTGAATTCGATTAAGGGCATGATCTCGTGGTTCGTGAGTTTGAGCCCAAGTCCGGCTCTCTGCTGTCAGCACAGGGCCGGCTTTGGATCCTCTGTCCCCTCTCTCTCTGCCTCCTCCCCCGCTCATGTGCACTCTCTCTCTCTTAAAAATAAATAAACATTAAAAAAAAAAAACTTTAAAACTAAAGTATGGCTTATTATTTTTACCTGTTACGTATGCCTTCCTCTTTGAGGAACAAACCTTGCCTGCTTTAATTAGAGGGTGATAACAACAACAAATAACATTAGAAAGGCTTATTGTAGGCCAGACACCAAACTGAGTGCTTTATATAAGTAAATAAACTCTATGGGTGGAGAGAAGCCACTCTTAATACTTGTAGACCAGTGATCCTTGAGGTTTCCCCATAAGATTTCTAAAGAGCTGACCCCAACATGGGGATGGTGGGCAGCAACGGTGTGAGAGAGCACAGGGCTCCAGGTTCAAAAGAAGACTCAGAAGCCTGGTAGAGGATAGCCTGGGACAGTGTCCAGCAATGGAGGAGCAAGGTCAATCTCAAAATCAGGACCCAGGCTGCAGACTGGGATTGGAAAAGAAGTCAAAGTGGGAGGTAGGTTCCCAAAAGGGGACAGTGTTCAGCACCCCACTGAGAGGCTGGTGCTACAACACCTAATCCCAGTACGGTATGATAAATTTAATCAGGTCTACATCGAGAGTTCTTGGGGGGTACCTGGGTGGTTCAGTTGGTTAAGCATCAAACTCTTGATTTCAACTTCAGGTCATGATCTCAAGGTTCATGGGTTCAAGCCCTGCATTGGGCCCCACAATGATAGTGTGGAGCCTGCTTGGGATTCCCTCTCTCCGTCTCTCTCTGCCCCTCCCCTGCTCATGTTCTCTTTCTCTCAAAAACAAATAAACTTAAAAAAAAAAAAAAAAAAAAAAGAGTTCTTAGGGCCAGAGGTGTGTGTGGGGTAAGGCACAGGATGGCTGTGGAGTCAGGGATGATGCTGGTATGGATTTCCAAGCCTGGTTTTCCAGTGGGTTCTGAGAGGGCAATACGTGGAAGAACGAGGGCAGGATCCAGTGCTCCAGGTGGTGCTCAGAGTCGATCAGTCAACAGGGAGGGCAAGGAAGAGAGCAAGACACAACAGTAGGACCCCAAACAAATGGCCAAGCCAAGGATGGCTTGGCAAGCAATCCTCGCTTGCCAAGGTAGGGCAAACAATGATTTCAGAAACACGTAGGATTAGTGGGTGTCCCAGGGCCAGAGTATAAAGCAAAGACGTAGAAATGGCAACACAGGAAGTCAGGGATCAGCCCAGGGCTAGCAGAGCAGAGACTGCTCCCAACGTGCTCCCCGGAATGAAGGTGAGTAGATAGGCTGCATTAACAGGTGCTGATACTCTCCCGAGAGCCAGTCTGAAGGGGCTGGGCAGAAACCAAATATCAGGAGGTGGGACAAGGACAGAGCAAGTGCATTCAGAATAGAGAGAGGAGGCAGTCCTGGAGAAACTTCCTGTGACACTTGGAGCAAATCAAACATGGTTTTATACCCCGCAGGGAAGAAGGCACCAATGAAGGCATCACTCCAGTTCAGACAGAGGCTGGGTCCTCCTTCTCTCCTCACTGCTTCCACACTCCCCGCCTGGGGGACTGGCTCAATAAGTGGACTTATGGAAAGCAGCAGTGGGCAAGCTGTGAGCCAGCATTTACTGAGCTCTTACTGTGGCCAAAAGCAGCTCTAAGCATGACCCTTTAGTTACGGTTCATCTTCTCAGACTTTCCATTCTTTCTTCCTTAAATGAAGTTCTCTTTTTATAATTGTTTATCAACCACAACCTCTACAAGCGCCAAAATGACAAGTTTCAGACAAAATGACAAATATCTGTTAATAAGGTAGTCATTGCATGCATATTACAAAAAGGGGGGGGGGTGACTAGGCTGTTTTTTTCCCATTCTTGGGAGGAACAAAAACATCATACGTGCTTGTCGAGCTCTCTGGAAGTGGGGCACCTGTGTATACCTTATTCTTGTTCAACTGATTTGTAGTTTTAAGTCACTAACATTTGGGGTTGCTTGATATTGCAGTACAATTTACCTTATTGTGATTTATAGGAGTGTAGGGGAAGGAGATCAGGACAGACTTCACACAGAAGCCAGTAGAGAACAGACAAGAGGACATTCCAGAGAAGGGATGGGAGCCACTGACCTGTTCCATGGTCTGCTGTGGCTGGTGTACAAGACAGAGAGGAGAGGAAGAAGAGAAGAGGCTGCAGAAGATTGGAGCTAGATCATGACAAATCCTAAAAACTTCATTACGGAGTTGCAGAAAATGAGGAGCCAACAAAGGGTTTTGGGGGAGTACAACCTTACTGGATTTATATTTTAGAAAAACTTCTAGAGAGAGCAGAGGCTAAGAGATCAGTTAGGAGGTGATTATTACACGTTGGGTGTAATGAAGACCTAAATCAGAGACAAACTTTTTCAGTAAAAGGTCCGATGGTAAATATTTTAGCCTTTGTTTGCCATACGGTCTCTGTCACAGCTACTCAATTCTGCCCTTGTAGCACAAAAGCAGTTATAGACAACATATAATAAAAGCATGTGTCCCGGGGCACCTGGGTGGCTCAGTCTGTTAAGCACCCAACTTCGGCTCAGGTCATGATCTCATGGTTCGTGAGTTCGAGTCCCGTGTTGGTTCTGTGCTGACAGCTCAGAGCCTGGAGCCTGCTTCACATTCTGTGTCCCCCTCTCTCTCTGCCCCTCCCTGATCACACTGTCTCTCTCTCAAAAAAAATAAACATTAAAAAAAAATAAAAATAAAAAGTGTGTCCCATTAAACTTTAATTTCAAAACAGGTGGTGGGGCCAATTTGGCCCATGGGTTGCAGTTTGCCCACCTTTGACCTAAAGTAATAATTGGACAAGGGCACCTGGATGGCTCAGTCGGTTGAGCGTCCAAGTCTTTGATTTCAGATCAGGTCATGAACTCACACAGTTCATGGGTTTGAGCCCTGCATCCGGGTCCATGCTGGCAGTGCAGAGCCTGCTTGGGATTCTCCTTCTCTCCCTCTCTCTCTCTGCCTTTCCCCCCGGCTCAGGTGTGCACATGCTCTCTCTCTCTCTCAAAATAAATAAATAAATAAATAAATAAATAAATAAATAAATAAATAAA